CATCAGTGGACTTTCCTCGTCAATATAGGCTATATTTTTTCACACTTTTCTCATTCTATATTTCTGACGTTCCAAAAGCGCCTCCTACTGGCAGAGAATGAATGTTCATTTTCAATAATCCAGTCTGTAGTTTTTGTTCAGACCAATGTGAAAATCCACCTACATAACCCTGTTTTAAATTAATATAATAATTTATACTTCTGACTCACCCCTGGTTTAAACGCTCAGTTGTGAGGTTTATCATTTTATAATTTATTTTGTTTTTGTGAAAACCTGTATCTCAACTGTAAATCAGTTGCTATTTCGTGGTCTGCAACATGAAAGAAAGCCATTATAACATGTACATGAAAAATGTAGAAATATTGGACACAACTATGGGGCACCATTGTGCAGCAGCAAGCATCACAACAAAAAAGGAACCTCCAGGTTGATCTAGGAAAATGTGTGCAAATGTATAGGGCCCCATTCCTATATTTTTCCTGGGGCCCCCAATTCACTAAATCCGCCCCTGGTTGCACGCTTTTTGTGATGCGGCTGCAGTAATTGGACTCTCTCTTGAGGGATGAGAGCTGAGCGCATGCACCCCGTGGTCGGCTCCTGCGACTGCCTGCCACAGACAAACAGGAAGTGTGAATATATTCACACGACTGTGTGAATATTTTTTAAAAAGTAATTCATTCCTGTCATTTTCAGCATCATTAATTCAGTCTTCAGTGTCACATGATCCTTCAGAAATCTTTCTAATATGCTGAATTGATGCTCCAGAAACATTTATTTTTAACAATATTATCAAAATTAACTGTTGTGCTGCTTAATATTTTTGTGGAAACATTTAGTGATAAAGTTCAAAAGAACAGCTTTATTTGAAAGAAATCTTTTGTAACAATGTAAATGTAATGTTTCTGAATTTATGAAGTATTAATTTCTCTTAAAAAATCATACTGTATTATATTATTACATTATATTATATTATATTTAAATTGTATCTCTAATAGTACTGTATATACTGCATATAAACATTTGTGTGTGTGTGTGTGTTTCTCACCACTGCGTGTCTCATCATATGGGTAATTGGCCACCACGTCTCCTCCATGCAGATTGGCTGACAAGACAAATGGAATATCCATAATCCAGTGAATGACAGCCTTTGTTTCTGGTGCCAGCTGTAACACACAGATCAAAAAATCATTTCACCAGCTCAAAAACTGATGCTCCAAGATATGTAGCACTACTAATACCATGCTACAACATTTAACAAATAGCCGATCAAACCCTCTCTCACCTTGGTGTTTTCATCCACAGCTTTCTTCATGTTTTTCAGGAGATGGTTGTTAGATCCACCCTCTTTTTCATTCATGTAGACGATGCGATCAAGATCTGGAAAGTTCCGGTTCAGATCAATCCCCTTCAAAAATTTTAATTTGTTCCAAACGTGTATGTACTTCTTGTCAAAAATAAGAATTTTTTTAAAGAATCTTTATGCTGCTTTTTCCCTACCAGTAAAGTACATGACGTGACTTTTAAGGCAATTTTATTTTATTTATTTATTTTTTTTTAGCTTAACAACCAAAGTCACTATCAGCTGTTGTTGTATGGAAAAGAGTGTAAAGACATTTCTCTTTTTCTGAAAAAATGTCTTTTGTCAATTTTGTCAATTTAATGCATCCCTACTGAATAAAAAAATATGAATGTATTAAAAAATCTTACTGACCCCAAACATTTGAAGGAAGAGTGTATATATGTGTGTGTGTATATATATATATATATATAAAAAAATTTTCTAAGTCAGTGTTTTGGCAGGGTTGACATAACACAAACAGGTGAAAGTTGAACAAACTGACACGTGGAGACAAAGTTTCAGACTGAAGAGGAAATCACTTCAGTTACTTGTCATTTTTCAGACGCTACAGGAAATGCCAGTGTCTTGTAAAGTGAGTTTGGCTGAAAAAGGAAGTCTGAATACAACCGTTACTGTTTTAACGTACAAATAAAACACATATCGCCTATGATCACAAGCCTTTATCCCATTCTATGATGTCTCTATCCTACTGAAATCATTTTCTAGTAAAAAAAATTATGTACACTTCCCATAAAAGATGCGACCTTTGTGCTCGTGGTACCCAGGACAGGACTTTCCCTCCACCTCTGAAACAATCACAAAAGCCCAGAGAGAATGCATGTTTGCTGTGTGGTCAGGATAGACATTTATCAGTAAAGCAGTGCAGTAAACCACATCCCAGTGAGGTGTTTAATAATCTCTTGGTATCCCCTAAACAAATGTGAAACTAAAAGTCAAATGTGTCATGAAATGTCAAAGCCCACACTTGAGTGAGTACAGGCTGCAGAAGGATGTGGTAAACCACAATAAAATGTTATGAAAACAGCACCCCTGCATTCTGCCAACAAAACTCAAGTTGAACTGTTTTTTTGAAATGGAAACTAGAGACCGGGTTTTTTTTTTTGGTTCAGTGGTCAAAATTTCACTCAAACCTCACTTGTTATTATCTATAAATTTTGTTTTGTTTTTAAATTGTTGTGGGTTCCATTTAATAGTACTATTAAAATGAATAATTAATATGATGTTTGCGAGTCAACACTAACTGGTAACACCTGAAACATGCACACATAATGTGTGAGTACTGAACTGAGCTCTTTTTTGTACCTTATTGGGCTTGAACCGTCAAACACACACACACTTATGTGTCAAAACACCTCTCTTTGCGAGTATCCTTGTAAACACAGGTAAGCAAACATAAACAGTTGAGAAAGAAAATGCATGTGTATCAGTATATTAGATCTGTGCATTCGATCTTAAAGTGACAGCAGCCTAAAAAAACCTGGTGCTGTCTGTGTCATTAACGTGAATCAAACAACAAAAGAGAGAAAAGCTCTCGCTGGCCCTGAGTGAATCACATTTATATTTAATGTACACAGTGAAGACTATGCAGTGTTTTGTTTTTTGTACATACATTTTTTTTTTTATTATTATATTTTATTTCATATTTTATTTGTTAATTTGTCTTTATATGTGTATTACAGTTTTTTGTCCTATTGCTTGTAATTTTTTTGTTCTTATTTTATGTTTACTTGTCAAGCTTGAGAGTTTCTTTTTTTTACTTATTTTTTTGTGATATAGAAATTTATGATGAGAATTATGAAATTTCATAAAAACCTTACTTAAAGCAAAAATAACTATATTGTGATATATATTGCTATCGTAAAATAAAATGACTCCTATTGTGAAATAAGATTTTGGTCATATTGTTCATCCCTAGCCTATATCATAACTAAATTATGCCTTTATCATAATATTACAAAAAAAAAAACTATGTAATTTTCTAATTGTATTTCATTTGTTCATTTTTACAGTTAATACGTATAAACTGTTAATATATATTTAAAACAGTAAACATATATTAATCACAACTTTTTTTTACTTTACAAATGTTATTTTATGTGTGTACCTTTGGAAATGGATATTTACTTTCCTTATTTAGGTGCTTTATTTTGTATTTTAGGCCCATTTTGAGCACAGGACACCAAAAACCGAGACTGTCCTATGGAAAACTAGGAAGTCTGGTCACCTTATGCTGAAAGATGTTGAAGACTGGACTAATGAACCGTTTAGTGATACAAGTCGTATAACAACACATATTTTAACAGCAGAATATGGTCGTCTGTCTTGTTTTACAGTTCTAAATGCGATTCTCTTCATCATCAACAGTTTATGAAGAGATACTGAACTGCATTCTGTTGATATTCTTTTTATATTCTTCTTCTTGTGTAAGGTGTGTGTGTTTACCTGTGAGGCTGCTTTCTCAAAGCCGTCAGGATTCATGGAGGGCATGATGTGAATGCGTGTGGAGTGGATCAGGTCGATGATGGTGTCGTTGCCCTCCTGGTACTCATTACAGAGATACTGAGCCAGATAGATGAGCAGCTCTCTGCCCACGGCCTCATTACCGTGCATGTTCCCAATGTACTTAAACTCCGGCTCACCTGTCACACAAAACCAAACACAGTTAATGATTCGATGCTGTATGCACATGTGAGTTAAATGAACTGACGCAAATAACAACTAAATGATGCCACTTAATTCAAGCTTTATCTTTAAAAAAGTGATCTGTACTATCTGAGTTGTATGAATCACACGTATAAATGTCAAAGACAACCAACCGATCATATGTAAAGTCTTGGACAATTTGTCAATCATTTAGCAATTATTATAGAAATTTTACGATGTATTTTACGATCATGATACTGGGTCGAATGGAGGACGAATAGAGAGATTCACACTCTCTAAAAAAATAACTTTACCTTAAAATGTAATGCTTAATAAAAATATAATATTTAATATTTAAAAAAATAAAATAACCTTTGAGGTCATTACTTACTGATCATATTTTGGCATTTTAGGACAAAGTTACCACATTACACTGTTAATTTCAAAACTCAAAGCTTGAATTAAAGCTGATTTTTTTTCTTCTTAATACAGCTGATCAGAAAATATCAGAAGAAAAACACACTGGAAATCACAAAATAAATAAAGTCAACCGTTTCACAAATACTGAGAAATATAGACAAATATCCACATAATTAAAGGATATTTTATTATACTTGTCACGTTCCACAAATAGGGCCTGCAATTATTTAAAGACTAAGTCATTTCTATCCCAGGAGGTCAAACTAAATACTTTATAAGCTGTTTTATTTTCTATCAATTTTATATGAGATGTTGCACTTCCTCTTGGTTATTTTTAATGTTCTCTTCTGTAGCCTCTCTGTTTGAATAATCAAGACATGGTCTTATTTGTTTGCTTTAATGACCTTGGTTTCTCCTTGTTTATAGAGTGTGCTGAATGATTCTGGTCTAGGTTGTGGATTTACTGAGAATTCCTCCTCCGAGAACACCTAGCCAGATGTCAAGATCAACACACACACATAAAGACAGAGAGAGAGAGGATATTAATCAGCATAACATCCATAACGCTGGATTGACTGAACAGATGGAGTAGTATGTCCGCTAGGGGTAAGACACAATAAAAAGAATAAAGACTCGCATCAAGCCGTCAGACCAAAAATGAAACGAAAGAAAACACCATAAATTGAAGGTTTAAATTTATATCAAAGATGAGGAGAAACAGTCACTATGTGGTACTGGGCTTCAGAGAGACCCAAGACCCAAAACAACAAACAAAATCAATATAATTAACCAAAAAAATACAAAGAACCTTACCTAACTACTCTCAACAAAAACAGAGAGAACGGAATCAAACTAAAGGGCAGGTCTCTCCTACATGGCAGTTGTGGCCTAATGGTTAGAGAGTCAGACTTGTAACCCCCGAAGGTTGTGGGTTTGAGTCTCAGGTCCAGCAGGAATTGTTGGTGGGGGGAGTGAATAACCAGCGCTCTCTCTTCCACGACAGAATACACAGAACCGAAACCCCGCCTGATAAGTGCACCACACTGACATTTTGTTGTCATGTAGAGCTTTTACAGATACACAACATGCAAACAATGTTTACCTGCCATTGCGCAGTAAACATTATATAATATATATAAGCACCTTATATAGGACATGGGCTCTATGTAATACCTAAAGGAAGTGTTCTTAATCGCAATACTGCTTTGTCCACGGAGTTTACGGGAAACAGCTCTAATTCAGCTTTTCCATAAGCGCCATCTGCTGTCAGTGAGTGGATTTACAGAGACTTGTATTTACATTCAGCCTGTGTGCCTGTGTTTGATGAAAAACAAGCTTATGTGGCTTCTACACATTTAGACAATTCAGATAAGTTGTCTAGAATTATTTATGGAGCAGATAAAATAAATATAATCATTTATTGATCAATTATCATTTTGACTTAACTTTTCTTTATTTAAAGGCTGAAATGTGAGGTTGACCTTTTTATGAAACTTTTTCAAAGCTTTATTTGAACATTTACATTAGATATTTGAACATGCTATTAAACTGTTGTCAGTCAAGTTGTCATTTAAAATCCGAAACATCATTGGTAATTTTATTGTTTTAGTGACTATGCAAACAAAAAGT